ACCAACCAGATCTCGTCTTGATGCTGGAACGGCAAGCGTCCCGAATTTAGGGCCAACCTCGAGCGGGCCAGGCTTCTCGGCCGTAGCAGCGCCTAAAGACGTGCGGTATAGTGGGATTCGCGTGGATTCCTGCCTAATACGGATGTACTTCGAGTGTTCAATCTGGTTGCATCCACCATATCTTCATAAGTGTAGTTGTCTTTTGTGAACTCTTGTCTCTTATAAAAGCTTTTACGTGCCTCTTTACCTGGAAGCGTAGGTGTCCGCGGCAAGCCCTCGCCAGTTCACCACACCCAGCGGTGTCATGCAAGAATATTCTCTATTGCCTTTTCTCTTCAACTTGGTGATTGATATACCGCTTGAATCTCCTTTGCCAACCCCTTGCACCTCGGGGATAGAAACACTGCCGGCGCATGCTCTTACGAACAATAAATCCGCCGACGACAATACTGTCTTTGGACCGGACTCTTTAGAAATGCAAACTACTTTAAGTAACCGAAACGGTCGCGCTGCACAGCTGAGAATGCGCTTCACAGCTGAAAAGTGCAAGGTGCGGCTTGAGGATTGGGCGGGATCAAACCCAAATCTATCGGTCATCATCATCTGTAAGAACCGCGTACTCGCCGTGCAGTGATCGGTGTACGAAACTGCGGCAGCTACAACCACTGTACGACGAGTACGCGGTTCTTACAACTGACAATGACAACGGCTACTTTCATCATCCAACTGTAACACCTTTTCGGTGACTAGCTGCTATGTCACCCGAAGAAAGCATGAGGACTGGGATACTGCCAGGTTGCCCGAGTTCAGACAGGGGAAGTCGAGAAACAGAAGTCGCGTTCAAATCACGGACTTTTCTGTCAGTAAATTCGCGCACTAACCACTGAACCATCTCGGTCTTTTAACAAGAAAGTAAAAAATACCGGGGATATTAGCGTGGCTCGGAGATGAGTTAGAATATGTATTCCCTCTAAAAAAAGAACGATCTTTTCCGCAACAACCAGGGTAACTATTTAAAAAACTGCTCTCCTTGTGTAGCTTCCAACTGGTCTATTTTATTTTTCTTCGTTACAGATTCCCCGACTTCCTTCTTTGTGTACATGGAACCCGGTTGAGACAGCGGTTACCGACTGTCGAAACACTCCATGTCCACATCTCTGAAGCATCAAGACTCTAAACTGGATTGCATCGCGTACGAGGAATTTATTTTCGGTGGTCTTGCTTATTCGGCCAGTGTGTTATCCCTGTTTCCTATATACAAGACTATTTTCTTCCAACAGTTAGATGGAATTACTTGGACAGAGGCTTTTAGTCGACTAAAGCATGAGGGAGTGGCCTTGGCGTATCGTGGTGTATTACCACCACTCCTGCAACGTGCTTCTACCGGTGCTGTGATGTTTGGTGTGCAAAGCCTGGCTGAACGCTCGCTCACGCATCATCCTGCAACTTCTCAACTTCCTTTCGGCGTTAACCGTGTTATTGGTGCCGTACTCGCTGGATGTTGTGAAGCTTCCCTGATGCCCTTCGAACGGGTACAGACGTTGTTGCAGAACAAACACAATTTTCCATCTTACAGGAATACTTTCCACACTCTAGGATCTTTGGTAATGACTCATGGTATGAAAGAACTTTACCGGGGTTTTAGCCCCATACTGTTACGGAACAGTCTTGGTAACGCTCTGTATTTTAGTGGTCACAAGTGGCTGAATGATCTTCGCAAACATCGTGCCAAAGAGGGTCCGCTCGAACGAGGTTTGTGGAATTTCGGTCTGGGTGGCTTACTTGGAGGTTTCATTGGCATAGTTACTTTCCCGTTAAACGTCATCAAAACTCGTATGCAATCCACCGTTGGAGGATCTTTCGAATCTACTCGGTCAGCGTTCACATCGCTCATATATCACCGCGACCATCGGCCTGATGTAACTAGGCTTTATCGTGGTCTGTTTGCAAACTTCCTGAGGTCTGTCGCTTCGTGGGGCATCATCACGATGACCTATCACCTCCTACTTGAAATTCATTCTGGTGTACCCACTTCCTCCGACTGCGCCGTTAGGTAAAATGTCATTCTTACGTCTTACTGCACCTCCATTGTAGAAGTTTCACTTAACTTTATTTAACTAATCAGGGATTGGTTAATGAAAAACTTCCCAACTATCAGCTTGACCTATTTCATAGATGCCGTTTTATTGTTTTTTTTCCAATAAAATATGAGTTCACATCCTTATGGCTTCCTCTTCATTGTCTTGGAGGCTTCCGTGTCGGTTTTGTTTGCTTGGGTCCTACTGAGTGGGCTATCTGAACTTCCGACTATTGTCATTCACATACATGGGATTGCCTACTTTGAGTGATGTGGCATCGAACACGACACCGCTCTCACATAGCTCTTCAGAGATGAAACTGTTTTTCATTAAAACCCACTTGAGAAGGATTTCCGAAAACCAAAAATCAGTGCGGTCCTGAAAACTGCTCCTTCACCTTCCGATACAGTTTCCCCAATCATTTTCTTTCGGCTTCTAGAACATCGATGACGTGCAGCAATAACTTAGCTATCGATTGCGTTATCTAGCATAAATTACTGTAACAGGTTCCATGGGCTTAAAGTTACAGACTGGAATCTACAGTTGAGCGGAGTGTGCCAGGTAATTTATGTATTCATATTGCGTTTGAATGGCCTCACCCCTGCCATTTCGCATTCGTTAGTCTTCATTCGTGGAAAAAATAATTTTCCATTTTGTTGGGGAGTGGGGTTTGTACACCTAGATTAGAGATGAACAAGGTCTAGTATGTTATTCTCAACTTTAGTGAACCATTTCTACCACACACTAATGGGTGCTAAAGATAATGAGGGATAACTCAGTTCTGTCGCGTCAAAGAAGGCTCAATGGTGTGTTCTACTAGTTGGCCTTTAAGGGTGTTTTCTTTAGGTCGGGGTGGGGTTGGGGGTGAAAAGGAGGGCTAGTGCGCAGTATTCGCCAGGGATATTCCTACCGTCTACTACCTTCCCATCCCCTAGATCAGTCAAATGGATGGATTATTTGCCAAGTTGGTTCGCATACGTTTCCGTAATATGAAAAGGAGGCATCTACTGCAGGACAATGTAACGCCACCATTCGCCTACGCTGTTCCCTTCAGGTCTGGTCGTTGGCATTGTGCAGCTTATTATGCTTACATTTGGCTGTTGGATTATCCAGTCGTACGACACAACCAGGTTGGCAAGGAAAATTAGTTAGGTCGGCTACTTGCATTTCGGAAACAAGATATTTGTATCTGTGCTAGGAAATTCGTGGTGGACTTTACGAGTTTGAGTAAATGGATGGCAACTGAAACACATGAAGAGCATCTTCCATAGTGAAAAATATTTTTCTACTGCTCAGCAGTATAGCTAAGTAGGAGATATTAGAGTTTTATTAGCGTCATATCGAGAGACGTGGGAACTCTTCCCACAACCGTCCGCAAAGTAAGGGGGCTTTGCGATGTAGATATTTGTCATCCGTAGCCGAACGAAGCCGGCTCGAATGATCGAAAATTAGTTTGGTTTGTCATTAGTTCCAAGTATAAACCTGCCATAAAAAGTGAGTATCGTGGTTCCTCTAAAATGTGAACTGAGTCGGTAACGTATAGATTCCACATACCGAATGTCTTGGTTTATACTTCTATGAGTGGATGGAAGGCGTATTGTCAGGTGACACGACAAGAAAGTTAACAATCATCTGAGTTGGAATATTTTGTGAGTGTTGCAGTCATTGAAAAACCCCTCAAGGAATATGGAGAGAGGGTTCAAATAAGAACGATTCCGTACGCCATTTGCATGCGCAGCCGGATTTTTTCACTCTGTCTTTCGTATACCAACCCCTCATGAGAAAAATAGGTGGAAAGCGAAATTTGGTTTCACGCTGAGATGAAGAATCAGGATTGTGTCGCACAGTTGGGCACTTCGCGTTCTAATGCAGATACCATTCATTCCAACCCGTTTACTTCGTTCCTATCCGGTTAATACTTTTTCTTCTAGTATAATCCACCATGAACTATCATCTATGCTGGCCTCATAGCGCAATAGACCCTTTCTATAGCGTCCGCCTAGACAAGTATTTCCTCGAATGCGGTCGGCTTTTGCTGGTATATTTTTCCATTACCCAATTTACTGATCTAGCCACCAGCACGACCTGCGAATTCGGTCCGATATTCCCTTGATAGCGCTCCGTACTCGCTTACTTACGATATTGAGCACACCTGAAGTGCTGTTAGCCACTTATTTGTTGTATGAGACAGATTTAACTCGAGGCTATGCAACCTTATGCTGCTGCGTCGTTATATAGAGGCTAGGCAGCGGCTCATTAAAGTGAGATAGTCAGTTTCACTGCCTTATCCAGGAGAGTTTCTGGATTCGGTGGCGTCCGGTAAATTTCCTGGTATTTGAACAGTCCTTGGGCTTACAAAATTTTTCCATTTTATTTTCCTGATGGGAGGTCACCGCTCAGTACACAATGTTCTCCGTGGGTGCATCAAAAGGGGCGCATCAGGCGTCTTTTTTGTGCAGACTCCGAGTATCAAGACATCAGATTAGCGAGTGTTGCTCATCAATCTGTCAAGCTATCACTTATTCGCTCACGACGGCGGTTATTTTTGTCACTCGTGTCTCAAATTTGGGCTTATTTTGCCTCCCCTACTCTATAACTGTAATATGAGTAACTTTCCGTGTTAGCCGTGTAGTAAGATTTCTGAGTAACACGAAGCGATTGATCAACATTCATTGGCAGGGAGGTAATATCATAAATTACTATGAAGTGATATTACAAGTCGTTTCTTTCACAGCAAGGACTGGCCTCGATAAATTTGGAGCGTTTTTCGCTTTATGGCTTCGACGAAATTTGCAATTCTGTCACTACTAACTTCATTATTACGCCTTTGAACGAAGCTGTTGCTCAGAATCACCCCCGAATCTTCGTGCATCCCTATAGAGGCCACTTCTTTGGAACTAGATGTTTCATGTCTAATGGCGACTTCCAGCCTTTTAATGGGTTCAGTAATCTACTAGGAAGCGGCCAGACTACAGGGCCTCTCACTATATGTTTCTCCGCAGTTTCGGGACACAGACTTCATTTAAGTGCCATCACCTTCAGTGAGATCCTTTGAATTCGACCGTTGTTTACGCGGCTGGACATGAATCACTTGGTCGTAAAAAAACGAGTAGAACTTGTCTTGTCGCTGTTTTTGGATTAGTTAGCCTAAATCTCGGAATCGCTCAATTTGTACCTATCTCACTTATTCAAAATATGATGCCAAAGCCTCTACGTTCTACAAGTTTCCTAAACAACGATAATGACACGGAAAGCCACAATCTCATGTAGGCATCAGTGACATAATTCGTGTAGTGGAAATAGGTTCTTAGTGCAGCGCACATGTCACTTTGTTCTCCACTCACCTGAATACTACATTCTACGCAACTTACCCCTTGAATGTTAGAAACGTTCCCAGCGAGTGTGTTAGGGAGGGTAGCAAATTCACTTTTGCTGAAGGCTACAGTTCCGGATGGACATTGCATCACCAGGTGTTGCACCGTGTAAGCAGGCTATTCAATACTCAGGTATCAAATGCAGCTTTTATGAATAGTACATTAAAAATTCTCATGAGGAATGGCAAATGTGTGCAGTCTCTATGGAATTTGTTGTCATTGAGGGGGTTATGGCTGACTTAGGGTGCTCCCGAGTCTGACTAGTTAATGAACAGTGGCTGGACAGCCGGACGCTTGATGTGACAATTATGGGGCTTGCGCTCAGCCAGACGGGATGCCGCCTCAAAGCCGTTGACGCAGATGTAAACCCAAAGTAATAGGATCGGCGGGTTAGAATATTGAGACCTTTGCATTCGCGACACTAGATGCATGTTTATAGCCTAAAATCAAGTACTGAATGCGTGCTCCCCAATAAAAAACTGTTGGTAGTGTGAGGAGATTTTGGATTTTTTGTGGTGATTTCGTCTTGTAAGTGAAGCGAATCTATGCTGAAAAGTCGAGAAGCACTGTACAGCTGTACGTGTTGCAACCCTCCACTGTCAAACATACTAAAAAAAACCTGTATTAGTGCATACACCTGATTTGTATTATGGCCATCATCGAAAGTGCACTAATAATTGGTGAGCCCGACTGTGAGCTGAACAGCCAAGTGTGTGGGTGACTGGGTATCTACAGTCACTTGAGACGCTCTCGGTGGTAAGTAGGACCAATGAGAGCATACAAGTTGACATCAGGTACTAACCGTGTTTAGTTGGATGCAAGTGTAATTTTTAGCGAATACGGCACGTTTGAGTTTGTTCCAGGTCCTAGCACCTACAGCAACTGACAAGGCCCAGAAAATTTCAGAAAAGGACTCGGCTGAGTCTTCCTAAGCAAGTTGCAAACGGATGTTTCGCCAAATGAGTACAATTCGATGTTCGAGCAGAACATAGGGTTGATGATAACTCGGGGATTACGCCTACCTTGATGAAGTCCTGCAACGGGCTGTCGAAGGGCTTTCAGCAAACTCATATGTGTAGAGTGACTTTCTGGAGGGCAGTTTGCTGCGATGTTGTTCAATAATGCCGCACAGCTGGTGATGTGGGCTGACCTTCACTAGTAAAGCAATGGCACATTGGGGTCACATGAGAAGGCAAACAATTTGCAGTGACGGTAACTAGATCCTGATGTAATGCGTCCGAAATGCAAAACAGAGTCGGAAGCCCCGGGATTCCCGGACCAGAGATGTCTTGATTTACCAAAAACGTCTACCACCAACTTATGCACTTGAATATGGGAGCTGAGGACCCCTTCCCAATGAATACATGACAAGGCGAAAGTTCCAGACTGCTCGACAGTTTTGGATGATGTGGAAAAGTAAGGCGGAAAGTAGGCAAACAGCTGATTGAGGATATTATAACACAGATGCAAGGCTTGGGATGCAAACTATCCAATCGAAAAGGTGTTAAAAACGACAAAATGTGAGACCAACGGATAAGTCATAGATGAAAACCGATAAAAGAAAACAAACTTCATAAATAGTACCAGGAGGTAGTTGGGTGTCTGAAACACCCAGCTGTTGAGCGGGTTGAGCCACCAGCACTCGCTGGAAGAGCGCATAACTTGAAGTTACAATCATAATAACTCTTTTTCAAACTGAATCTCCTTAAAGTCGGGTTGCGGAGGGGGGAAATAAAAGTGTCTTCGGTTGAACCCAACGTCCAAAACAGCGTTTTCAGCGACACCGACGACAGGATACAAAATACCTTTCATTCCAGTCCACCCTTCCATCGACTGCGCCGACTGCTCATTGATCAAACCGGTAGCAGCTCCATTCACGTAGAACCGTAATTCCACGTGATCGTACGTCAGTCCGAGAACGTTACCCTCTTCTAAAGGGGTTTGGAGGCGCGCCAGTTTAACACCTGAATACCAGACACAGGAATCTTCGCGAACAACCCAGCTCGCTTTGTCGATACCCAGGTTCTCGACTGATGATAATTGGGTCTAAAATCACAAATGGCGATAAAGTTTACGGGTGAGATAAGTGGGACCACTCCAAAGTGAACACAAAAACGCCGCACACTGGACACTCTAGGTTCTTTGGAAGGAAAACATCCCAACTAAAGTTGGCTTGTGTAAGCGCGCCTTTGGGTCAAAACAGCGGAACCTAAATGCGTCCGCTAGATGTGTCCAACACTAGGACGGCGCGCAGCAGCTGACACACACACACACCAGTCCTGCTGAGCTGTGATAAGAGCTACCGATGTAAGATATGATCACATATGGCATATTTTTGCATACTCCGACGACCTTACTTTACACTGTTTGCCCCTTCGTGAGATCACACTGAGATAGACATTGCAAACATTGGTCACCTACTTAAAGATCGGGTAATGAGGACAGACGTTGGGGCACCACCGAGCATCACTGTATGTAATAAGACTTGGTGATCAAGCACTATGTGGTCGGCAAAGAGGGCTGACGACATCTAAAAGCTCACACTTAGTATCATCAAGCAGCGAGTTCCATTAACAGAACCGGACCGATTCTGCTCAAGTTAAACGACAGGAAGGTGGAACGAAAAGCAAACGAGCGAAACTTTTAGCAATCAGGCACGAAAGTGAAGATGGCACACGTTCAACGCATTTCATGTGCGTATGGTGCACCGAAAATGTCCGTCGCACACTTCAATGGGATGATGTAAGTCTATACTGTTGGATGATGCGTGAGGCCACATTATACGGGGGGAATATTCCAACACAGTCATTTTGTCAAACTTTTAAGTAACGAGAGATTTTTCAGCCGGATGTTTGGTGAATGGAAAAGTACTTTTGATTTGATCAGACGCGAATTCTCTCAAAACATGCGAAAGCCGATTCCTTATGGTGTACTTCTTGAAAATATAGCAAACTTTCGAATGGTTTGTTCACCTTGAAGGCTGATGGACTACTGATGTTCCTAGGAGCCCACAGTTGGCTGGTAAACATCATTCTAAAACTAATACAGAACTAAGCTGCCGATGCATGTACACGATATTACAAACAAGGTAACTATTATGCGGCCCTGCTTGGACAGTAAGGGGTTCGAGTCTGACCAAAGCCTTCCGTGATGATATAGTTTTTGAGATTAACAACAGTTTCACACGGTCCTATCGTGTCTTGTTGAGGGTTGGGTATCCATTATGGGCTCACACACATGTACTTTAATAGGCAGCCAAAATTAGACAGACGAGTATGTTGATATGTTTCCACAAGACAAAGTAATCATGAAAGCGAGCCTGATTTTCGTTGTTTGTTGTTTATTTCCGTCATTTTTGAAATCCGGATAAGCCGCATTGCCCTTGTACAGAAAAAAAGTGTGTTTGGCTAGGAATATTCTACGGAACATCGACCGCAAATATAGTGAAAAGGACAATTTTCAATTTATGGTACGCTAGCCGAGTTGCTGTCGAGGTGAATCAAGGGTTGTTTGGTACCGATGAGCAAACAAAACCTTACGCTCCTTCTGACGCAGTATCAGCTTTAGCTCAGGAAGTGCTTGGCTTGCGACCAAATGAATAAAGTTAGTTTTTTCGCTACTCAGACCTCTGTAGGCTACCCAGTTTTCATTCGAAACTATCGACTAATTAGCATACTGTGTAACTACTGGGACACATGAAGAATGAAGTGAGAAATTCGCAAAACGATTCTATTCAGCTGTACTTTTGCAAACTGAAAATAGAGAGCAAGCCATAAGCCTGTGACTGCTCAATCAACATTGCACTAGTCGGTTGCTACCGTCGTGATTGCGAAACATCAAGAAAGTGATTGAACACAGGCGGCCTTCGGTATTATTGCTTGCTGTAACTTGGTTCACTCCAGATGAGACAGTTTCTGGCGATACCTAGGGCTTAGTTCGGAGTCCACTGTGGTCAGATCTGACACCATAGGTAGCTGCTTTTGCATTCAACTTTCTACCATGGATTTAAGGTATCAAGCGTTTAGGAAGAACTAAAAGGAGAAATTTATTCGCTCAGATATTGAAGTGTGTGGGTAAGAAATAATGTTGTCAACAAGCTCCAATGTAGGCCATCTGTTTGAATGCGAACCCGAACACTGCATCCAAAAGCACAAACAAACCGAAAAATGCTTATCAAGACTGGTTTGAAGTCGTTCGATGAATCAGTCGAGTTTGTGCGGAAGGATGGATTTATTCTTCACTTTCGTCCCACTAACGTTGGATAGACTGTGTGGTCGTGCCATTTCACTCATCTAGCATGAACAGACTGAGTGTGAAACTTAGACACGAAGTTCTGCTTTTATGAGCTAACTCACCGACAAATGATTGTGCCCGGGTTCGACTTATCGGACTGAATGAGACAATATGAAATGAGTGAACTTGTGCCATTCTCAACTGTGATAACCAGATTTTCCTACCGCATTCTTAAGCTGAGAGCCGTAATCACAGTTCAACGACGTTTAAACGAAAAAGAAGAGTCCCCGCGGATGGAGCACAGCATGTGCGCCATTTCCCTTGTTATTACACTACCTATGTATGCCTGAAGCAGGAGGAAGCTTCACAGTGATTGTCTGCATGGAGTAAACGAAGTAGAGATAGCAGACATCAACTTAGTACCGGCCGTCGTCCAATCAATATGCAAAGCTTTCTAGTGCACGGAATCACCGGTTACAAGAAATATCTCGCAACAGGAAAATCCACACACAAAATGACGTCAAGACAATATGGGGCATTGCCAGTGGTGAAGTGCACACTACATGAATCTCCAACACGGAACAGAAGAATATCTCGAGAATAACCTTCAATTCTGTGTGTTATTCCGCCTAGTGTTACGCAACACCTTAAGTTTCGATGCGTTCTACAAATCAGCAATTTACACTCACCCTGCATATGAGCCCGTCAGTCAAAATCGTTTATTAACTTGATGACAGCAATTAAAAAGGGGTAATTATGGTTCACAAACCAAAATAAAAACCGAAGAGAATTTGCTCGTGCTCACACGGCACACCTAATAATAATAATAAAAGTAGTGACTAAACAAGAACCACGGTTTTGTGGCGGATAGCTGAGCAAAATGCAGCCAGTGGAAAGTAGGCGCATCAATCGACTGGCGTGTCCCGAACTTTCTGTCCTCAAATCAGATGATATTCTCACAGGAACAAGGTGTAAGCCGATGATGGCAAGGTACTGGTTCAGTTGTAACAACCTTTCTATGCCTAGCTAACAGGCTACCCAAAAGAAGCACGAGGGCCGAGATATTGCTCAAGCCTAGACAGGGACAGTCGCGATGTGGAGGTCGGATTCCAAATACGGACCTTCCGGTCAGTAATTTCGCGCCTTAACCACTGAACCATCCCGAGCTCATTTTCGGGAAACATCACACAGTGATGTGTGAGGAAGATGCATTTTGAGGGGGAAATCGCATTTCATTGCGAGAGAACTAGCAGGAGATAAAACTGTCCGGCAGCGATCTGCTCTGAATAACCGAACATCACGTCGATTGGACGGACGAACAGAGTACGGAGCCAACGAAGACATGACCTGATAGGACAGTGTCAGCCAATTAGGATCGAGCCTTTATAGCTCGGTGCTTGTTGCCACTTTACAGGTCAAATTCCAGTGTGACCTTGTGGAGAATTATGTGATTAGCTCTATGGATACAGTTGTAATAATTTTCTCTTTTCCCCATAAAGGGGTGACTCAAACTACCGCACCTTTTGATAAACCATAGTGGGTGGAAGAGGAACCCACAATGGGGTTGCAAGGCAGTCTGCAGTACACAAAACCGATTGCAGTGATATGAGAACTTCATTATGCAAAATGAAGCTCAGGTTGAAAAATGTTCCACGGGTTCTTTCTGCGTCGTTACGCATTCCACCATTCAAGCACACGGCTTCCGCGTGTTTACAGAAACAAGATGTTTAGTATGAGCAAAGTGAAACCTCACCTACAAGCGCCGTCAGCTCGATAAGCGCAGTACAAGCACAGATCGAAGACAGTGAACCAACAGAATGTCTGGCTTTCGAGAAAGGCTCATAGCAAGAAAATCAGCAGCCTAATAGCCATACCATACAAAATGCTCTATGGTATGGGTTTGATAGCCCGTGATGATGTCAAGTATAGGCACTGGGGAACGTCTGGACTAGGATCTGGAGGCAAAACAGAAACGCGGTTCTGCAACAGAGTAAACGAGAGCCGTCATCTATAAACCTGACTCAAACCCTCAGCTCTTGTGCCGGGAAACTTTTGGGGAGTGTAAAATGTGCAAAGTGGCCGTCTTCATGTTTTGACTCATTCAAAAGGCATCGACATTTCAGCCGCGGATTTAACCTAGGCTGTGCTAAATAACTGTTGGGATTTCCAACATTGGATGAAACGAGTCGAACACCGTCAACCTAACTAAAAGAATCTCCAAAAGTTCAGCGGACAGCAAACACTGCGTGAAAGTTTGCAAGGGTAATCATCAGTGCTCATACTGTTGTAACGGTTTAGAGTAACGATATGACTGGGGGATGAGAACGTGTGAAATACGTTTGGTTAGAGAACGCAGCTGTATGATGTTTGGCCTCTGGCGACCAGGATCTAACGTGATCCAACAGCTCGGCAACCATAGACCAAGACGACGTGCGACCTCAGTAAAATGAAGCGGGTTGATCTTTTAATGAGCCGTTTGTATGTTGAAATATTGGATGCAGTGTGACCAAAGCCGACCCACCCAAATAGAAATGAACATCAAGGTACTGCTGTTTGCTGACTGTATAATCTTACTCACTCACAATCCCTACAAAGCTTGTGGCCAAAGGAGCTACGTGCATCTATTACCAAGGAGGTCAGACTTACGGGAGATACGTTTAGTGTACTGTACTCGGCTGTACACATATTGATCACAGAAAAATGCACGCTGTGGAATACTGTTTTAGGACATTAGGACAAGCTAATCAATTACTGAGACCGGAAATCCGCGCACGCACTGTCCAGAATCCGGAATAGTGGACAGCGGTCGGTCGTAACTCACCATCCTCCGATCGTTAACAATAAGACGAGGAGTTGTAAACATTTGCGATGACAATCAATGGATTCTGCGTCAGACTATAGTTCACTTAGTCGAGAGTATGGTAGACGCCACTCAGGCCAACTCAACCGATGGCGTTGTTCATTGATAAACGTGGCCCGTGTGTGTTGTAAGCTTGGGCACAACGGAAAACAGACGAACTAAAAATAAATTATACGACTATGGCACACGTATTCACACGTGTGGCGCACGTATGTTGCAGAACCCATAGTAAACGGAGAGTTGAGGCACTCTCGACGTGCCTAGATATATGCAAAGCAAGTAAAAGGTAGGAATGTATCTTCCCTATCGAGAGCTCTCATCGCAACTTCTGCGCTATCCAGATTAGAACAGATAAGGTCATCTACATAGAACATTCCGATTCCCGAGGGTAGTTGACGTTACATTAAAACTACATGCGTTTTGGGGTGCAGAAATCAATTTCCGTAAAACACCCCAAGTCGGTTGATCAGACATAGCACACGCATCGCAGCACCAACAAAACCTCATTTACTGTCTAGACCGAACGCCAAGTTCACTCAACCTGTAGTAACACCTCCAGGATACGTGTGAGTACATCGCAATCAACAGAGAACGAAGATGAACGTTCCACGAACTCAGCAAAACTTCGGATGAATCTTCTCCTATTCCTCCGCTTGCTGGATACAATTGAGAAAACCTGTATACTTCATAGAAGCCCCGCTCATCGTCCCAAGCCTGGCGCAGCCGACCTTTCCTCTTTGAACCAGAGATAGACCATTTGGCATCCCACCCTAAACCATTCAGTAGGGCAGGCTTACTTTTCACGCTCACCTGCTAACGAAAACGACTACCTGTTCATTCTCAAGAGAATTATAATCAAGCGCTGAGCCGACAATCGCTTGGTTTATCGCGGGATATCGTGTTAAACAACCGCCTTTGAAAGCTGCTGCCATAAGCAGCAAAAACTGTGTACGGTCAGGGAAGGAACACATGCGTCTGGAAAGTGAACTGCGTGAAAGGGAGACTGGACCGAGTACGGTAGCCATGGAACATGCCATACGAAAACCTACCTTGGAGCTACACAAACCAACCGCCCAGCGTCCAGTACATTGTATCTTCACTTCGAAATAAGCTTTGTCCTGCAGAATTGGAACTACAGACCGTGCACATCCATGGCCACAAATGCGCAGACAATTTTTAAGCAGGACCACTGTTGGGCCTGCACTTGAAAGATCAAGCTTGACTTCAGGTAGTGGTTCTCTAGGAGCTGATAGATTAAACTCGTCGTCGGGGAAGTAGGTCAGACGTTGGCAGCAGCCGAGGAAATCAAAGAAAGGCTGCAACAAAGGAGAATGTAAAATCGGGTGAGGGACATCAAACGAAGAACAAAAATGTCTTGCTTCCGATATATAAAAATGCGCAGTGAAGTTTGAAGAACCACCACGTTCACTAGATGGTGTTATAACAATTCCTTCGGAACTGTTACTGAACCTCTGATCATCTGAAGACCCAAATACAAGGAGCAGTGAAATGATTGCACTGGAATTGCCCAATATGTGACAGTCAAGTAACTAATGATTGTTAAGTTGGTCGACTTGCTTAATTTATGCTACACTGAATTGCTGGGCACATCATGACGACTGTGCCAACTGGCTTTCAGCAGATAAGTGGGCAAAAATTAGTGAACATGTTCTGATAGGCCTCTGATCTTAGCAAGAGACCTGTAGCAGATCCACTTACGCGCTGAAAAACTGCAGTCCCGGTGTTCATTCGTCGATTTCACCGGTCGCCAGTTCACAGTCTTCACCCAAATCGTACGTCCCAAACAATGAAGCTAGCAGACAAGATGACGTCGGTCGGCGCTGATTTGATTCCATAGTTTAGGAACCATTAATGTCGATTTCAGAAGAATCCCATCCGAACTTGTAGCTGCCTAGACATGGGTAAAATATTACGTACGAACCATTTCCATGCACATCAGCATACGCGCATAACACAAAAAATTTAGCGTTGTGATATCTACCAGCCACCATCTCTGACAATGTCTCCAGCCAAGTATAGGAGCAGCCACGGGGAACAAGTCTTTGAGGTTCGTGCACTGACTTCATCAAATACGCCTCCATCAGAGCTAAAACAATCACCAAGGTATGTGGCATTTTTGAAAACGTTGGTTTGGCATATATATAATATATATATATATATATATATATATATATAT